TGAGTTTTTCACAATTGGGTCAACTCAAAATAAAAAAAATATACGTATATACTTATTTCGGCATCATTATTAGCGCCATGACTTCATCCAAATGTTAAAGAAGGCCCTCCTTCCAGATGTTATAGACTACCTCGATGAAACTAACGGAATGTAAACACTGAAATCTCAGCGCCTGCAACCGCCAAATAGTCGTGTTTGGAACTTGACCATTTAAACTATTTCAAAGATGGTTTTATTTTGTGCAAATAAACACCTTTCTCCAATTCTCAATGAAACTTAATCCTCTGAAACGCCTCTAATAGGCTGTTTGTGGGTTTAGTATGCCGAAATCAAGCGAAACCAATCTCTACTACTTGTACGCCTGATTTATAACTAAGCATAAGAAGGTTATAGAGAAGAACACAGTTTGCCAAAGCTAGTTGCAGTCAGCGTTTTCTAGACATAACATTTTCTTTAAATTTCCCCATCTTTATTGCATAGTTACATTTTACGGCTCAACTAATCTTCAGTAAATTCAGTTAACTAAGACACCTTTTTTGATACAAATGGTGGCAGTTTTTTGAAGATGTTTTTGAATACAGACAGCGTCCCATTGATGTCAACTTAACTACATCTTTCCACATTTTGGATGGCAAGTAACATTTCAGTTCCTGAAGTTAACTACCACCCTCTCTAACCCTAAATTATCAAAAAATGTAACTACTTGAGGTCGGAAAGTATAACAACGGTTTCTTAAGAGCAGATGATGACGGTGGTAATGACCGTGGGGCTGGCTAGGGTGGTGCAAATCTGAGAGGTAACACGTAGATTAGACGTTACCTTCGATGCTTCACTCGGTGAAGTGTAGGTATTAGCCAAAATTGTATCCTGTTTGACAGCATGGTTTCCAGCGCTCGTGACAACACCGCCGCCGGCGGGGAATTGCTGTGCAGGCTGCTGCTGCTGCTGTTGTTGTTCCTGTCGCCGAAATGGAGGGGCATCACCAAGGCGTGGCCGATCTGCAGTTGTGGTAGACAGTGGTGCAAAGTCAGTGCGTGGGATGAGGGGTGGGGGTGCTGAGATCACAGGCTCGGCAACGGGTGTCTCCTTCAGCTTTGCTGTACGCACTGTGCTGGCGGCCTCAGTGGCCAAAAGGGCAAAAAGGGCAGGATCACCGGCACCCATGCCTGTGGCTTTGCCACCGGTCAAAACATCAGATGTTTCGGCGTTCTCAATGTCCAACAGGAAGTGGTCCTTATAGTGATTTCGTAGTTTTCTCTTCCTTTTGGAGAGTTGCTTTTTAGACATAGGGTCAACATGGCTGCAAGGGGAGGTAATCGGGGAGATGAGTGGAGAAATGTTTTTTTATTAATTACAACGTTAACAGGAAAGAGACATTCAGTGGCGGTTAGAAAATGCACAAAATCTCCGAGGTCACCACGAGAGGAAAATGGTCAACACTGACTAGGAACAAAGATCGGTTAGGTCTTTGGCAAAAGTATGAATGTGCTTTAGCATGAGGCTCCTCGGGCGGAGGGGGTAAATGTAATAGTTTTCTGTCAACGTCTAGTTTACGATGTTTTCCTCAGACATTGATATTTTTATACCGAATAAGCTGGCGATGTATATAGGTATTTAATAGACGACAACCAGGTCAAAGGCAAACGCTGGCATAAACAGAGGGTCCTAACAATGTGTATGAAAATCATTAGCTGTCTGTCTTCTCGAGGGCAGCATTTCATTCTTCTCTGCGCGATATTTCTAAGGAGGAATTGATCAACAAACTTTCAAATACGAGCAGTCTGGATCGTTTGAATATCCAATTTACTCACCTGAAGTTTCGGACTTCCAGCTTCAACCGATCACTAGGGATAGTAGAGAATATGTGGGGAAAGAACCTTTCACTTAGTGTTTCAGTCACATGTGTCAAAACTAAAACGGTATGGCGACATGAGACATGGCAATAGTCGTGTGGCAACGACGGCCGCCAGCGGGTATTCTGCTGATAGACGCGCGCGCTCACCTTGCTGAGCGGGAATGGGGAGGGGTGTAAGATGGGTGAGAGTGAGCCTAAGAACAACGATTAAGGCAGTTGGCGTCTCACGCGATTGTCAACCCTGATGAACCTTGAAGAGTGATTCAAGTTCTGCACTGATATGTTTAACCAACTGTGCTCTATGCAACGTTTTCGTTTCACTAAAATAGCTGCTCTGTGTGTAATCGTATGGGAGACTATCCGACGATTGTGAGGGCAATACATGATACAGTAGTCGCCGGTTATTAAGGCCACGGTTAATAGGCCCAGCCGCGTA